ATATATAAAACAATAAACACATGCCTTTTTTCTTTATTGGCAAACTGCTCCCTGACCCAGGTATTGTGGCAAACCTATTATACTGAATTTTTTTATTACAACCTAGAAAACACGGCACAGTGGAGGTTACAAAAATTTTTCCTGGGTTATGGAAGAAGTAGTTGGCAAACAAGCTTAGCAGACATGTATTATTTGTGAAAATCTGGAAGAAGTAAAGGCAACACTTAAAGTGAGAAATTCAGTCTCTGAATATCAAACAATGAAAGAACGTCTATAATGACAAAAAGTAAGCATATTTTATTGAGGACAATAGAAAAGCTTGATAAAATACTACAAACTACCTGTCTGAACTCATCAGATAATTAGCAAGGCAATAAAGACTGGGACCAAGATGCAGAAGAACCTGTTAATCCAGAGGGTTCAGGAAGGCAGTTGAGGCTTTCATCTCTCTAAAGGAGCCAATCCCTCGGAATTCAGAGGACAATTCTTGAAGACTAAGGCCTGTTAAGAAGGGTCCTTTCAGACTGAGAGCCTGGAGAAAAAGTGAACAGGAAGTAAGTAGGATGATGTTTGCACAGACCAATGCCCAACTTTGTGTCGTTTCGGTTCTGAAACTAGAACTAATGTGAACTTGGATTGCAGGGTAAACCCTTTCTGGAGAAAGAAAGTATCATCCTAGGCCTCAAGATATTTCTACAGTTTTTATATTCATTGTTCAGAAAGCAATAAAAAACACACAGACATATGAAGAGACAAAGACAACACAGTTAAATAATTGAAATAGAAGTAGAGGTAGAGAAATAACAGACAATAGAAACAACAGACATTAGAAACAGATATTGTCAAGAGAATTAGTTTTCTGAAATGGACTTAGAGAACTATTCTTAAATGTAAAAGCATATGTAAGATATGATAATTTTCATGGAGTATAAACATACGTGCTCATTCCTGTTGGAGAAACACAGAAGATTAAACCAGAAACCCAAGCCATTGGTTACTTATGGGGATGGAGCAGGAAAATAGTAGAAAGAAGAGGAAAATTGGAAATGGGTAGCAAGGATGAGGAAGGAGTTATCCTTTTCTTGATAATATCTCTTAGTATACCACAGACTTTTTAGATCATTATATTGTTTTATGTTGTTGTTGTTAAGTACCGTCAAGTCGCAGGCGACTCATAGTGACCCTATGAACGAAAGTCCTGGACTGCTCCTGTATAACTTTCGTACTTTCTCCAGGTTCATAGGGTTTCCAGACGCAAGCTATTGTGGAAGTGGATGCCACTCCTGCTTCCAAGCTTGTTTTAATTGGGGAGCTTCACCAGACACTGTCCACCATGGGAAGCAGTATTCAGCTTCAGCTGGCATTGTTTTTTTTTTTTCTTTTGTCATCCTTATTTATTGTTCAATTCTCAGAAAAATAAAAAGCAGTTGAGAATACCATGATTTGGATCAGGTATGCTTTAAGATATAGGGTTTTTTTCTCTCCACTTTATTTTTATCTTATATTGGTTTGCATACAAAATTTATAAACATTGTCTATCATTCATGTACATTGTGTTTCACATATTCTTACATTCACATGGTGTTTCAGACGATCACTCATGTATATTGTGTTTTCTAAAATGAATCACCAATGATCTGTGACTACTATTAACTAGTCTTTTCAGTTCCCCATTGTATCTTTCCTAATCTCTTTACCCTTCCTCTCCACTCACTAAACCCTGTTATCCTAGTGATCACCTCCCTTTCCTACCTTCAGACCCCCTGTCTCCCCTCCTCTGTCCCTTTCAGACTTTTATTCACATCTTACTAATTATCCTTCTGTTTTTGCAATAATGATCTTATACAGTATTTGTCCTTACAAGACTCAGTACACTCAGCAGCATAATGCTCCTTAGGTTCTTCCATGTCATATGTTGTTTTGTTTTAGGTTTTTAATTTAGTTTGTTTATTTTTCATTTCAGTGAACATCTACAGAGATTTTGGGATTCCATTCGTTCATTGTTGCACCCTTCTCCCCGCACAACCCCCCCCCCCCGTTTGCTCCTCTCCTTGAAAAGCAAAAGAAAAACTCCCTCATTGGTACACAATCCCCCCCCGCACCTCCCCAAACCCCACCGCCTACCCCCAAATATAATCCACTCTGCAACCCTCATTGCATATTCCTACGATAAAAATAATGCCCTAAGATATAATACTTTTAGACTATTCTCTCCCCCATAGACTTCAATGCAGTAAACATATTTCATCCAGTTTTTCTCAGTCTTACTCCCACCCCAATGCCAGCCTCATTCTACAACAGTGGCACCATATAGCATTTGTCCCTTTGTGACTGAGATACCTCACTCAGCATAATGTCCTCCAGGTTCACCCATTTTGAATAATATTGCATGAGTTCCTTGTTTTTCAATGCAGCATAGTATTCCATTGTGGCATTGTTTTATACATACCAAAAGTAAACAATTAAAACTAATCAGGATGTTGGAAGAACCTAAAATGTAGTATCAAAAAAGTGAACACAGTGTTACAAATGAGCAAAATAACTACAGTAAAAAGGGTTGAATAAAGAAAGAACTAACAAACTTTATAAAACTTTATTTTGGTTGACTATTGTAAAGCTGTTTTAGGAGTGTTGGCAGATGGTATAGACTGCCTGTTAGGGTCTTACAGGCTGTTATCTCTATGGAAGTTGATGGCCAGGTTTTTCTCCTGTGAAAGCAGTGCCTGGGTTCAAACGGCCAACCTTTCAGATAGCAGCTCAATGCTTACCTACTGCACCACCAGCACTCCTTACTCTAAGGTTAAATACAATTCCACCACAGACATGTACATAAATACTATTTTCTAAACTAGACTCAATATAGTGAATTTGTTTCTCAGGGGTCTAGGTTGTTGTTGTTATGTGCCGTCGAGTCGCCTGCGACTCATAGCGACTCTATGTACAACAGCCCTAAACTCCGCTCTGTCCTGTGCCAATCGCACTGTCTCTGACACTCCCATCCCAATTATCCCAGTCACTGAATCAATCCACCTCATAGAGGGCCTTCCTCTCCTGCGCCGTCCCTCCACCCTCCCAAGCATGATGTCCCTCTCCAAGGACCGGTCTCTCCTCACTACATGTCCAAAGTAAGTTAGACGGAGCCTCAGAATCCTTGCCTCCAAGGAGCCACCCGGTTTAACCCTCTCCAGGACAAATCTATTTGTTTTCCTAGCAGTCCATGGTATTCTCAATACTATTCTCCAGCACCACAGCTCAAAGGCATCAGTTCTCCTTCTATCCTCCTTGGTCATTGTCCAACTCTCTGATGCATAACAGGTGATTGCGAAGACCATGGCCTGTATCAGACGCACCTTAGTCTCCAGAGAGACACCACTGCTCTTCAGCACTTTGGAGAGGTCCCTAACAGCAGAGTTTCCCATGGCAATGCGCCTTTTGATTTCCTGGCTGCTGGTGCCAAGACTGTTGACTATGGAGCCAAGCAAACTAAAGCTGTGTACAATCTCAATCTCTTCACCATCCATCCTGATGCTGCCAATTGGTCCAGTGGTGAGAATCTTTGTCTTCTTGACATTGAGCCTCAATCCATATTGGAGGCTGCAGTCCTTGACACTCTGCAGCAGGCGCTTCAGGTCCTCCTCAGTTTCAGCAAGCAGGGTTGTGTCATCCACATAACGCAGATTGTTGATAAATCGTCCACCAATCCTGACCCCACATTTCTCCTCATAGAGCCCAGCCTCCCGGATAATCTGTTCTGCATATAGGTTGAAAAGGTATGGAGATAGGATGCATCCCTGGCGTACGCCCTTCCCAATTTTGAACCATGCAGTGTTCCCTTGCTCTGTTCTGACGAATGCCTCCTGGTCCAAGTATAAGTTTTGCATTAGAACGATCAAGTGTTCTGGGATTCCCATTCTTCTCAGAGTCAGCCACAGTTTGTTATGATCTACACAGTCAAATGCCTTTGCATAGTCAATGAAACACAGATAGATATTCCTCTGGTATTCCCTGCTTTCAGCCAAGATCTATCTAACATCAGCTACAATATCTCTAGTACCACGACCCCTTCTGAAACCAGCCTGGACTTCTGGTAGTTCTCTGTTGATGTGCTGCTTCAGTCGTTTTTGGATAATTTTCAGTAAAATCTTGCTTGCATGTGAAATCAGTGAAATTGTTCTGTAGTTTCCACATTCGGTTGGGTCGCCTTTCTTTGGGATAGGAACAAATATTGATCTCTTCCAGTCAGTTGGCCAAGTGGTCGTTCTCCAGATTTCTTGGCTAGATATTCTAAAAGTATATTTTTATTACCAAACCTCCAACTGCAGCTGAACCAGTTACAGTTCACAGGGACACTCTACGGGACTCCCAGTGCCGACCTTCTTTCTCCCACAGAGTAACTGGTGGATTCCAACCACAGACTTCTTGTATTAGCAGTGCATAACATGCTACCAAGATTTAACAAATCCATGAGAATCTACTGTAGATAATGACCAAAAGACTTTAAAAGTCTTTCACTGGAGACTGTTTTAGAGAAGAAAGTTTCAAAAAAGGAGAGAGGAAAATAGCAAATCAACCCTGTGTTTTTTGTTTGTTTGTTTTAAATACAGGATTATAAAAAAATATTTTTTTTGTAAAATTTTACAAAGATTAGGTTCCCATTCAACTGGAGGACATTATGATGAAATATCTCAGTAACAAAAAGACAAATACAGCACAATGCCACTGTTATAAAAGAGGACTGACATAAGGGTTGGGGGGAGACTGAGAAACATGGGATAAATAATGTATACAGCATTGAAACATATGAGGGAGAGAGTTGTTTAAAAGAGATATATGATTAGATATTATTGTCATGACAGGAGTCCAGAATGAAGGCTGCATAGTGGAGTGTACTTGAGGGGAGGGACTGAATAACAATGGATGAATTTTTTCTTTTACTTTTACTTTTCAAAAAGAAAAGTGAATTGGGGGGAGGGGTGGGCAGAGAGAAAAGTGCAACAATGAATGAATAGAAATCCAAAAATCTCTGTAAACTTTCCTTAAAATAAACAAAACAAACCAAACCCCAAACCCTGTGCTATTGATTAGTATCTGGGAACTTGAGTGGTGGGAGGATTCCCATCATTTCCAAGTATAGCTCATTGTACCTAATTTGTGCACAGAGCGTGGCTTACGCTGAACACCTGACTTCCTGCTGGGTGTGTGGAAAGTTGGTGGGTGCTAAGCAGAGAGTGCTGTGTGCTTGACACTTAAACTCTCAACTGTTAAACTCAGGAGGGCTTCCTTGGGAGACATCTCATACATGATATTATAGTTTGTTACGGAGAAATGAAGTATATCCTGTGTGAGTTCACATGGAAGCTTGGACCTGGTTTCCCCTCATTTCATCTCATGCACCTTTTCCCTCTGCAGATAGAATTTTTCATACTTTCACTGTAAAAAAACTACATCACTGGGTCTACCCTGATGTACTGTTGGGGACCCTGATATGTTAAATAGCCCCCAAAACAAGAGAAAGGCAAATTCATGCCAAATATATCATCAATTTGTGAAAATTTAAAAAACAAAGGCTATCTCTTAGTTGCCAAAGGAAAAATGAATCACCTTATCTACAGAGGAACATTAATTGGAAAGACAATGAGTTTTATCTAAATCCAAGGAGAACAGAAAGAAGTGGTGGAATATTTTTAAATTCAGGGGAAGAAATATGTTAAACAAAAATTCTCTGTTCACGAAGACAGCATGAGAAACACTGTATACGAACTTTGTAAGCAAACCAAAGGAAAAGAAAAATTTATTTAAAAAAAATTCTAGATCCAGCTTACTTATCCTTGAGGAATGAAGGAGATATAAAAATATTCTCAGACAAAGGAAATGTTGTTGCTAGCAGATCTACCCTTACCTTGTTCAAACAAGAAGGAAGGGATTAAGGAAGGGACCTTGGAGCACTAGGAAGGAAAAAGAAACAATAATAGCACAACTACAGGTACAGACAACAGAACCCCCTTCTCAGATTCTCAGAAATAAAAAATTAAAACATCACCTAATAGTTAAGACAATGACTAATGCTTAAAAGCGGGAAAGAGGAAGGCAATAAATAAATGTTAGTAAGATTTTCACCTTGACTTCCAGGTAACAAGTCCAGTAAGTGTGCTGCAATACCCAGTGCCACCATTATGAATCTAAAAACAGAAGTGCTCAAAAACACCACAAATAAATCAAGTAAAACCCTAATACATGTTCAAGTTACTTGCAGGAAAGTAAGAAAGGAGAACCAGAAAAATAAAAAAGAAATTTTGAAATGGCAGGTTTGTGGATTAACAAGCAGTAATGATCTTAGATGTAAGTGGTCTCAATGAGTCAACGAAAGGCCCCTTAACGCACAGGGTGTCATCAGAGAGCAAGGGGAAGCACTGACCCTTTGGCTCTTTGGAGTTCGAGTCCTGCAGCTCCGAGGAAGCACGCTGCTCCTGCTTGGGGTCTCTGCCTGGAGACCCTGCCGGGGACGGCTGGCGGTCTCTCTGTTTGGAGGCCTGGGCTGTGCTGCTGGTGGGAGGCTGTCTGGGTGCCCAGCTATCTCTTCTATGAGGATCCTGGGGGCTGGTTTGATGAGCAAGGGGCTGCGGTCTGCAGGAATCAGGGCTCAGCCTTCCCTTCTGCTGTTCTGCCTCTTTTCGCTTGCTTTCTTCCTCACGCTTCCTAGAAACAACATCAAGGAAGAACAAATAGTAAGACTATTTTACCTGCTGACGTGATTCTGTGCAAAAATTAAATTTTAAGAAGACAACTGACATATTAGGGAGCTCTGGTGGCCTCGTGTCAAGAAGCTGAACTGTAATTCCGAAGCCACCAGCTGCTCCATGGAAGGATGGGCAGTTTCCTCCCAAGCGATTGACTGCCTTTAAAAACCTGCCCATGGGTCAGCTGTGGGTACACAACAACAACTGACATATTACAGGAAGGCTTTAGTAACACTTTTTTTTCCTATACATAAAAACAGAACTGACATCGAGGTTGAGGGAAGACAGAGAAAGAGGGGAGGAATGATACATTGAAACAGATGAGGGAGAGAACTGTTTAAAAAGGATATATGATTGAGTATTATTGTCATGATAGGAGTCTAGAATGAAGGCTGCACAGTGGAGTGGACTTGCGGGGAGGGATTGCATAATAATGAAAGAGTTTTATTTTTAAAGGAGAAGAGTGAATTGGGGGGAGGGGTGGGCAGGGAGAAAAGTGCAACAATGAATGACTAGAAACCCTAAGTCTCTGTAAACTCTCATTAAAATTAATAAAAACAAAACAAACAAAAACCCTCTTTTATACCAGGCACTATAGCTCAAAAGAGAATAGAGTTATAAATACTTCAGAGCAAACATAACACAAGACAGTGGATTTTTTTTTAATGCAACATAACACATTCCCGAGGGTCTGTGTGCTCCAAGCTCCAAGTGCCCTGATTATTACTGTTGTGTCAGGTGCCGCTGAGATGATTCTGACTCATAGTCAGACTCTATAAACAACGTAAGCAGACTCTGTCCTGTCCTGCCCCATCTTCGAGACCACTGTCATACCACGGCCCATTGCTGTAGTCATTGTCACAGCCCATTTCATTGAGAATCTGCCTCACTTTTGCTGATCCCTACTTGCCCAAGCATGAGGTCCTTCTCCAGGGACTTAGTCAAAGTATACGAGACGAAGTCTCACCATCTTCACCTCCAAGGAGCATTCCAGCTGTACTTACGCCAAGACAGATCCATTTGTTCTTCTGGAAGTCCACGCCATGTTCTACATTCTTTGCTAACACCGTATGCAAATGCATCAATTTTTCTTTGATCTTCTTCTTCACAGTCAAGTTTTTTCACACATAAGAGATAACTGAAAACGCCATGGCTTAGATCAGGTACACCTATGTTCTCAAAGGGACATCTTTGCTTTTCTACACTTTAAAGAATTATTTTGTCTCAGACTTTCCCAATGCAATGTGTTATGCAGATGACCAAAACCTTACTTATAGAAGGTGAAGAGTGGAAGCACATTATGATGAAGAGAAAAGATTACAGACTTCCATATGGATTTTACCTGGGCATCAAGAAAAGAAATCCTCACACCTGAGCCAAAAGGTAACATTATGATTGTTGTTGTTGTTGTTGTTATGTGCCATCGGGTCAGAACTGACTCACAGCTGACCCACCAGCAGGTGTTCAGAGGCAGCAAATCCCATGGGAAGAGAATGCCCATCCTTCAAAGAAAAGATTGAAATTGCCAAGGATTGACTTTTACTTGGATCCATAATGGTAGCAGCAGCCAAGAAATCAAAAGGTAAGAGCCACTGGGCACGTCTGCTGTCAAGGATCTCTTTAAAGTGGTAAAGAGCAAGGATGCTGCTTTAAAGACTAAGGAGCATCTGGCTCAAGCCATGATATTTTCAATAGTTTCACATGCATGAGAAAGTTGGACAATGAGTAAGGAAGATCAAAGAACTGACACTGTTCAGTTGTGGTGTTGGCAAAGATTACTAAATATATCATGGACTCCTAGAACAAACAAATCTGAAAGAAAGTGCAGCCAAGTGCTTCTTGGAGGTAAGCATGGTGAAAACCTCATATCATATACTTTGGTCACATTGTTAGGAGCGGTACATCCCCCTCGGAATAGGAGAGGCTCACTGAAAGAGAGGAAGACATTTAATGAATTGACACAGTGACTGTAATAATGGACTTGAGCTTGGCAGAGATTATGAGGATGGTGCAAGGTAGGCCAAGTTTCAGCTCTGCTGTTCATAGAATCTCTTTAGCTGTAGTAGACTGGATGTCATTCAACAAACACACCATTCGATTTCTTGCCCTCTGCCTTCATGGGTACTGACTACAGATCCAAACAAATTAAGTTCTTAACAACATCAGTTTCCCCCCACCAAGCAGAAGTGGCATCCACTTCCTAAACAACATGCCTCTGGAAACTATGAACTTTGAGAAATGACAATAGTTATAGAAAGGCTTCAGGTCTTTTGTTCATAGGGCTGCAATGAGTCATGCTCAACTTGATGGCAATCAACAACAACATCATCATCATGACGTTGCATATTGTTTAGTTGTGAGAATTTCTGTTTATGTTGAGGCGCATATAATCCATACTGTTCAAATGCGTGATTTATGGAGCTACCTGTAACTCTACCCCTTTTTTTTTTCCCCAAGAGAGATTTGTTTATTCTTTGTCAGTACATAGTATAGTCAGTATTATTCTTTTACACCATGTAATTCAAAGACATCAATTCTTCGGTTTTCCATATTCACTACTCAACTCTCAGATGCATACAAACAACTGAAAATATCATGGCTTGGATCAGTTATCCTTCATTCATTAAACTGACATTCCTGCTCATCAGCTCTTTGTTTTAAAATTTTTTGTTGTTTTATTTAAATTTATTATTAATTTCAGTAAAAATTTACAGAGACTTTGTATTTCCATTCATCCATTGTTGCACTTTTCTCCCCTCCCAATCCTCCTCCTTCTTGGAAAAGTAAAAGAAAAATTCTTTCATTGTTTTACAAATTCTCCCCCAGGTCCACTCCACCACGTAGCCTTCGCTCTAGAGTCCTGTCATGACAAAAATACCTAATCACATATCCCTTTTAAATAATTTTCTCCCTCATCTGCTTCAATGCAGTATACATTATTGAACCCATCTTTCTCAGACTCTCCCCAACCCCAAGGTCAGTCCTGTTTTACAACAGTGGCACCATACAGCATTTGTCCTTTTGTGACTGAGATACTTCACTCAGCATAATGTCCTCCAGCGTCACCCATTTTTAATAATATTGCATGAGTTCCTTGCAATTTCAATGCAGCTTAGTACTCCATTGTGTGAATATACCACAGCTTCTCTATCCATTCATTTGTTGATGGGCACTTAGGTTGTTTCCAACTCCTTGCTATTGTGAACAAAGCCACAGTAAACATGGGTGTGCATATATCTGCTTGGATGTCAGTTATGGTCTCTTTGGGGTATATTCCCAGTGGTGGAATTGCTGAGTCAAATGGTATCTCTATTTGCAACTTTTTGAGAAAGCACCATACTGCCTTCCACAGTGGTTGCACCATCCTTTTCTTCTTTTTGAGAATACACACTAGAATGAAACTGAGAATTTCAGCTACAGGGATAACCATGGATCTTTACTATTTAATTTAACTGAATCAATAGCAAGTCTTAATGATGAGATTTTAAAAATTCCTTTCAAAACAGCAGAGCACTGATTAGAACCACTAGTAAGTTGTAATATTGGCATCAGAAGCTCTAGTTACGAAGTAAGAAACCCAGTAATTTTACAGAGGAGACCCAAAAAGTACAATTTTTTTTTTAATTTTCTTATTTTTGTGTGAGTGTACCGTCAAATCAGATCTGACTGGTACAGGAGGAGATTGACCCTCCTTCCCTGGCAGAGCATCTGGTGGATTCGAACCGTGCACCTCTGGGATTGTAGTTGCAGCTCCTTGCCACTAGGCCACCAGAGCTCCCCCAAAAAGTACAATTATTTTACAAAAGTCATACAGTAGCTAGTGGCCTGACTTAGAATCCCTGGGGAGCAAAAAGGATAGAAGGTTGCTGGCCAGAAGAGGCCAGGCGTGTGACAGAAGCAGAAGTGACAAGGGGAGGCAGGTGAGTCAGTGGTAGCCTAGACATTAGCTGAGGTACAGAGAGAGGGTATTGGAGCTTGAGAATAGAGGTGTAGCATGCAGACTGTTTGGTATCTGCAGGGATTTCCAAAGAACAGAACAGAAGAAGGTAATTTTTTTTTAAAGCCTTTCCTTTACTGGGTGCTGAGGACACAAAACCAAAGGTTCAGCCCTCGCTTGGTCCCACCTCAGACTTGCTAATACAAATTAGTATTTTAATAAGGAATCTTATTTGACTCAGGAATAGGTAGGAAAGCGAAGACCTAACATATAAATGGAAAGAACATCCTAATAGTGTGCTTTTGCAGAGGTGGTGCTGAGCTTTGTCTTGAGTTAAGGAGTGGACTCCAACTCTTAACTTTTAAAGATGTGCTGGCATTTGGCAGACAGACAGGCTGATGGGAAGGGGGATTCCAGTTTAGACAAAGGTAGGTTGCACAGAAGAACTGGGCCTTTTATACTCCTGACCTTTGAATAGTGCTTGCGAGATACAACACATATTCAGTACACACTTACTGCCCAGATGATTCCCAGTTCCTACTCATGAAGAAGAATTTTGTCACTCAGGAGCTTTGGTAGCCTACTGGTAAGACGCTGAGCTGCAATCCCAAAGGCATGCAATTCGAATTCACCAGCTGCTCTGGGAAGAAAAATGGTTAATTTCTTCCTGTGTGATTTACTGCTTCTGAAAACCCACTGGAGGGTCAACTGTGAGTTGGTTTTGACTTGATGGAACATAACAATGACATACGACTGTTAACAATACTGTAGGACATGAAGCATGATTGTCTCCAATGGCACTATCATGATACTGTGTGTCAACATGGCCATGATCCTCAGTGTAATGTAATTAGTCAAAGTGCTGTAAATGCTACAAGTGAAACTGTTAAGATATGATTAGCCTCATCTGTTTAAGGGTAGATTCACTCTGGAGTGTTGCCTACATGACATGTACATTTAAATTATCAGGCTGGGCACTGTAAAGGAGGAGCCTGCCCATCTTTCTCCCTCAGAGCCTCTGG